ACTGTGTATCTCATGGACAAGTTGTTGTCCAGTCCTTATAATTGGGTTGAGTTACTTAGGTTTAGTGTTTTGGTTAATCTTTCATCAGCTATCTGCGTCACTACGTTTTATCTATTAGTCTCTCTTGTTATTTTCGATAAGAATATTTTGTATTCATATTCCATCTGTGGCCTCATTGGACTCTTGGGTGGAGTCACTGTACTTGGCCGTCAGATGTTATCTGATAAGTTAGTTGTCGATTTCCCTCTTGGTAAGGTACGATATAAGCACATACCTTTTGTGTGCACTTTGTTTTTTGCTGTTTTATTCGGTACTGGATTTTGTGGAGGTGTCCCCTTATCAATTTTTGTAACTGGAATCTTTATTGCTTGGATGTACTTACGCTTCTTCCAAAGACACAGTAATGGTTTACATGGGGATGTAAACGACAGTTTCACATTTGCTGGGTAAGTGTGTCACTATGTATTTCTTATCATGCAGCTTCTTTCCAAACCACCTAGGACCGCCCGTGTCTGTGATATCCAGCGCAGTATTCAACGTCCTAGTTCGATTTCGTGTGTGTAAACCCCCACCTCCGAAGAATCTATCCATTCCTCCTTCAGTAGTCTCATTTACAGTGGATATACACGACACCACTCATGCAGCCAGCAGGTATAGTTCGTCATTTTTCATTATTCCTTTGCTGTTGATTATGGTCATACTAAGAAACAAGTTATCAAAATATTTATATAATTGAGGGACATTTGCAATTTTAACAGAAAGCTGTTTGGTTAAAAAGTGCTGTATTGGATTATACCAATCGGTGTTTTTTCTTATCCCATTACATTCATGTGAAATTATAACGATCGAAACTCAGACCTTTTCTCTATTTCCATCTTTATTTAATGCAACATAATGGTTTTCAAGATGTCAGGAAGCGTTTCAGGGTACGTTTTACAGTAGGCAGCAAGTTTGCAGAAATGGAGATTTTCGAAGGTAGCAAATTCTAGTGATTTTTATCGACTCAGTTGTCATACCAACCACTCCTGCCTTCGTAGACTTGCGTGCACTGGTTGCTATCAACGTGCAAGTAATTCTAAAGTCTGACAGCATGCGACCAGACAAAGTGGAGATGCGTGTTGTCATCAATAGCGAACATGCTGCAATTCTTCCTTGTCTCTCAGAAAGTAATATGAAGTAATAAATCATCCTCTGAATGCTCTTGATAAGTGTGTTTACCTGTTTTCTGATGCCGTGGCTCATTTGTTCTGTTTCTATTTCCCATAAATTGTCTTGCTATCTTCGTATAGTTCATCTATCAGTATCCATATTGCACCAAGTTTGAGTTTAAATAATACCTTTGTGGTGATTATTTGCCTGCTGCGTACATATATATATATATATATATACTTTACTTCGGCTATCTCCTACGGGAGGATGAGCCGGCTTCATGAACATCTCGAATCATGGTGAGAGTCGTTTGTGAGAGAGTTCATGAAGTTTCATGGGAATTTGGTACGAGTGATGTCCCCAGAATCGCTCGGCCTTTTGTTTGAGAGTGCAGCTCTAGCCTTTACACAACCAAGTGTGACCTACAAGGCAGTAGGAGTGGAGTAGGGAGTCCACTATCCATTGGCAGCCGGTGACCGGAGTTCGGTTCATACGCCTTTTTGAATGGGGCCAGACATCCAACAAGCCCTTTTTCCATACGTCTGCCGGTGAGCTCCAGTGAGCTTCATACGCCAGTCGTTGGAGGTTTGGAATCAGGGTTTAGCCATCTCCCCTAGACTGTCATCCAATGGACAGTCAACCCGGTGAAGAGCGCCAGGCATCCGCTTTCGCCCTCTCACTTTGGTGAAAAACACCTCCGCCACGTGAAGGCAGTGAGTAGGACTTCCTCAGGAGAGGCTATGTAAGACGCCCAGTCATATGGGAGCATTTCAAGAGGTGTCCGGATGGGTGGCCAACCCGAAGCGCAAGGCACCCACCCCCGACCATCCTGAGGCTTTGGAGGCCTATATATATATATATAGAGAGAGAGAGAGAGAGAGACGATTTAGATAACCGTTCATGTATTAGTCTGTCGTTAAACAAAAAATTGTTTTTCTCAAAATTTGTGCAAACTATTGTAAACTACCACACTGAAATCTCCAGTTGGTTCTGACATGAAATCCTTTATATGACCATTGTAGGATTGGAAGCAACCGTAAATAAATAGCTTATTCAGATTATTAACCCCCGTGGTTATTGACATAATGTTTGCATGTGTAGATATATTATCGCTACTTTTTTATTAATTTCTTCACTTATCTGAAAATACAATAGGTATCTTTCAACTCCAAGTATTGTAAACACTTGCAGCAGTCAGTCTGTACCAAAATCTGCTCTTACTCATTCACCTCCAAGTTTTCCAAGTGAATATACACGTTCCATACCAACTGGTGGTACTCCATTACCACCTATCCCACCTCCAATTTCTGTTTCAAATGAGGCTTTATCATCATGATACTGTATATCATTCTCTTGCACAATCTAATTGCATCCTGTGATATATGAACATTTGCCCTTTTTTATTTGGCTTTTGTATCCTTCTTTACTTATCATTAATCCTCTAGTGAACAAATGAAGAGCACCCTTGTTATGTGTGTAATGAATATCTGTATTAGTCTTTTCTGTATAATCTCATCTTTTTATTCTGCGTGTGAATTTTCCATGGCTGTGAATTCTGCAATAAAGAATAAAAAAATTTACGTCGTCAAAGTCTTGTATTTTCTATCTGTCAACGTGTATAATCTCTAAGCATACTTCGGTATACAGTAATTGATTTATATGGGCTTTTGTTCTTCAGTTGTCGAATACGTCTTTCTTTCTTCTGTTAAGCTTTTGAAAAGTCAAGTGTTATATTTTGCGCTAGAGATACAGCTTGGCCTATTTTAGTAAGTTGTGCACTATTACTGGGTTAATTTTACTCTTTAGAATATATCGTATCTAATAAGTGAGTTCTCGAAAATGCTGAATTGAAAACATTGTTCACTTTAAGGTTTCATTATTAGTTGTTCTTTGAACAAAATTACTTAATAATTTAAAGCTGTGCTGTGAAGGTTAGATGATCTAAGGTCGTTTTGTCAATTAGAGCAGATGTATCTTTGGAACATGAACCCATTTGGTAAAATGCATTGATGTTGAACAGAGATCGAGAAAAATCGTAGACTTCGTTCAATTATAAAAATATTCTGTGTAAGAAAGAAGAAATCTACAGTGATTAAACAGTTCCGTCTTATTCCTTTATGTTTCCGAAGCGCATGCATCGAAGTGTTGTGAGTCTGGACATTGACGATCGTATCAACATCTTAATGGCTCCGGAAGTAATTTAAGTTGATATACTCTACTTTCTCATTCGTCAAACTTCTGGAACTTATATAGTCACCTAATTACGCGGACTTTTCTATCATGTCTCATAGTTCTTTTGCCAGAGTGAACGCAGACACCTATAGGTCTTGTTAATTACTTTGCGATTAGATGATGCAAAGCACATATTATATATAGACACTGATTGCGTTCAAGTTGTACATCTTATACATTGTTTCGTAGTAAGACGACATGATGTGCACATTATTGGTGGAATAATTTCCCTGTACTTAGCAGATCCATATCAACACCAGACTTACTCTTGAGATCTGTCTCTAGAATGTTTCCGAAGGTTAAATTGAAAACTGACAATCAACATTTGACTAACTGAGTTTCAGCTTAGAAATTGGCGCTGAAGTTCAAGTCGCCACACTCAATATAGCATACAAAGGTAGACAAAATGAAGGAAAACAAAATTCAAAGAAGTATTATAAACAGGAATATAAGGGGGAAAGAATAATAACACAGAAAAACATGAAGGTTTAGTGAATATGGGAGATCATAAAGGTTGAATGCATCTGCACCAATGAGAAGGATACTCAATCATATCACTAATAGTCAGTCTGCAGCCATTGGTTTTTATTGTGTATTTCCGTACAAGCGAGAGGAAAATGTCCAAGGGTGTAAAAAAATATACTGTGGTAAGAGCTGTCTACAAGCCAAAATCGTAGACAAGAATTTACATCAATGTTTACGTCCCGAATCAGGATCATGTGAAAAACAAGAACAAAGCTTAACCTTGAGGAAATCACAGCTGAGTTAAAGTGTGGAAATATGATTCACAGATATATATTACTTGATTTTCTGAGAGACGGTCACAGAGAGATAACAGAATAACCTTCAGCATGAAAAAAACCAATCAGAGGAGGTTGCTTCACCGCTAATAATAATGCACATAAAAATCTGTGAATACCTCTTGATTTCCTCAATAAATGATCTGTTGCCTGGCCCTTGTCTTCTGTCGTTACAATAGTACTGTCTGCAAATAAAGCTGTTACTGTTATTATAAGTTGTACAATTTGGTTATAAGTGAAATTAATATTTTACGATTGATTATACGCAAACCTTGCAGAGCTTATAAAACTGCAACGTTTGTCTGACTTTGATTAGTAAACTAATGTAGAAGTGAATAATGAAAGTTGGAATATACATATATATCCGCCAAGTTGGATAAAAGATTAGTTACTCCCCTATGAAAGTGGCTGGCGGTTTTGTTGAATATATCGCGAATTGCAGAGGTCGGAATTCATAAGCCCTTGAGTCGGGTGCTAGTGATTGAATGGTCTACGAGCTTGCCTTGCAACCGAAAGGTCCTGGGTTCTAATTCCAGTGAAAGCATACTAAAGAAGAGTCCCAAACTAGGACTAAACAACTGTTCAGTTTCCAAATTTTTCAAAAGGTTTATAACCGATGTTAACTCGTGATCAAACCTGTAGCCGATCAAATCCATGAGAACTAACACTTGTTTATATATATATATATATACATATATATATATTAGGAGAGAGATCGTTAGAATAATTATTGATTTTCTACAGATGAATTGGTGCTAAATCTCGAGCAGATTTGAAAAGCCAGTTTATTAAATCCACTCAAACTACTTATGAGTAGCATATTTTTAGGTGGTAAATTTCATGAGGACATTGGAATTCCTGTTATGGCTTATTCCCTTTTTAAAAAATTAATTATTAGGGATTTTTAGAACAGTTAACTAAGGCTAACCGTACCGTTTTCAGTTAATGTACTCTTTTTTCCAACATTTCATATTTCCAATGAAGTACTTTTAAGTATTGATGAACTCCACCTCTTATTTAAAACCTACAACAAATAATGAAACTGAGTCACTTGTTTAGTATTTTTTAAGGTTGTCTTCTTAAATTAATGGTTCATTATGTCTTATGAATCACTGGTACATGTTGTACCTGTTCAAAATCACCAACTTACGCTCACAAGTACTAAATAATGATTCTTTGAAACGGTTTGTCTAAAGCTATTATGAAGGGTTCACTGAATTTCAGTTCAAGGAATTATAGGTAATTTGCTGCAAAGTGTAATGATTCTGTCTTGGTCCAGTTCTCTTTAATTTTTGTAGTTACCCATTAATGAAAAGTACCATAGCGATATGAAGCAGCTTTCCATTCCATCTTAGTTCTTAGTGTTCATGTAGCTGATAGTAACTTATAGAAGCAATTCGTATGATGTTATTAATACAGCATTGTTAACTTCAGTGGTATCAGTCGACCTTATTGTGCTAGAAAAATCGCTTAGTAAAATTTTTGATTTTTAAATTTGCTTATATCCACACATTTAGTGCGTTTGTGAAATAAAGAGTCATATCAATTCGTCTCTTTGGTTTCTGTTCTAGGCCATAGAGGGATGTGATTAATTATTCTATTGGTTGTTTGCATTCAGCTGACGGTGACTGATTAGACCTTTGTTAATACTGTATGTCTGAATTTCGGTTATTATGATAATAAACAACTACTGTTAAAAACCGTCTTGTTCATAGGTGGTCCTGCCTACAAGTCATAGTTAGTACTTAGTGAGAAAACTACTTCTTAATGCAATTACACAACAGTCCAAATACTGTTTTGCAGTGTTACCCATCTAGTATGGGATTAGACTCTGCCAGAGTGTTCAAGTTTTGCACTTATAGATTTACAACTGTATGTATCAAAACAAGATAGTCATGGAACAATACATTGATCAAACAAATTGAACTCAAAGAAGTAATCCTTAAATGTACAATGAATGCAGACGTTGTCTTCAACAATTCATATTACCAACAATTACATGAAATCTCTATGGGATCAATATTACATTCCCGTTTAGTTCATTTCCACCTACCAAGACTTGAAAAGCGACTACTGAAAGATTAATATATATGTAAAACTTTGGAATTTTGGTAGTTTGTAATTCCATACTAATTAGTTTCTTAGGTATATCACACAGCGGATGAAGTTTTGAACACAATTTGTTGTTCATAATCATATCAATTATAATCAAACGATTTGAGTTTTCTTTGTTCTCTCCTATTTATCGTAGAGGTAGTAGAATTTTCCAGATATCTGGGATAGGTGTTGAATCATTCTTATTACACGTATTTGCACTTGATTCGATAAACAAAGCTTCTGTTATCAATCTCTCCCTACACCCTGTTACATAAGATTTTGAAGCCGTCATCTTATCCCATCCCATTGTATGGTTGTGTTGTGTGCAATTGCACGTAGTGTTATGGCTAAACTATTCTCTAGATTTCTTATCTTATTCGAGTCAACTAATCTAGATTTTGCTAGGTTTTAATGCTCGGCTAGTCTGACTGTCCCTGTTCTACTACTTTGACCTGTGTATTTGACCAGAGACGATGACTTCATGGATGAAACCATTATTTACGATTTAATCAGAACTTGTCAAGTGAAATTTTGTTCCACTGATTAGGCAGTGGTATACCTAGAACGTGTATGCCTCAAAGCTGTATTTGTCATTTTCTAGTCACTGAATAATTGAGACTTAACCTAATGATAAGCTGTTTAGTTTAGACACATCCGTGCGTATTTTGCAATTCAACTGCTCCTGCGAGGACAGTTATTTTGGGTGTACTATTAGACAGCTTAGTCAGTGTTTTATTAACACAATTTATTTACTTCCCTTATAATTTAGCGTTACATAATCTGACCGTTTGTTTTTTTCTAGCCTTTATCTGTTACGTCTGCCAAGTTGTTTTTCATTATTCTTTTATCACAGATTGCTTCACTCTTTCATCTTCATTATTATTATTATTATTATTATTATTATTATTATTATTATTATTATGATTAACTGCACAATTTGGAGGCACAGTCTCATCATCCTATTGACAGATCATTATGACTGGTTTATATTGAATACTTATTTGTAAAGTTATGCATATTGGAGTAAAACCAATTAGATTGCAATTAGATTATTATGACTATAAAAACACTCGTCGTATTTCCCACCTAATTGCAATGGATTAATAACACTCGTACCATTGTTTCTGAATGTACATTATCTCATATTGAATTTTAATCCAATATCTAGTCGATTCCACACATGTATATAAATGAAGGAAAGAAGTTGTGTGAGTAACTTGATATGATTATGAGCAATAGTTTGTGCTCGAAACGTCATCAGTAAATATTACTGTATAACACTGTGAGACTCTATCAAAATAAAAATTTACCCATAATGGAATTACACTCTACCACAGTGCCCATGTTTTATTCTTATATCACTTATACTTATGGTCTTCCTACCAGGAAGCTTATCAACAAACTCACACGACTTTGTCAAACTGAAGCAAGATTCACAAATCATCGGATTTTT